TTATAATTATTTAATTATTCATTGACTTAATTTTATATTAATGTAAATCTAAAGATGTCACAAATAAAAAATAAAACTATTTATTTCCAAAGATTTTATTTAAAAAATAAAGATAGAAAAAATTGATTCACTTGTCTATTTTTCCTTTAAAATGATGAATTATAGATAATTTTTACTTAAATTTTTCTCTAATATATTTTTTACAAAATAGAATTTTGTAGACGTCTTATAAATCAATTTTAATAATAATAATTCAATTTAAACTAATTTTAACCTAATTTTTAATCATTTAATTATTCTTTGCCTTTATTACTTTTATTAATGTAAATTTTAAAATTTAAATATAAATAATTTTGGTTTTGTTTACTTATTATATTATGTATCCTACTATGACTACTTGACTACTTTTGTTGAAATTATTTCGCCCTCAGTGATTTCATCGGATAAAATTTTTCAGGCTGAAATTATACAAGTTCTCCCCCATACAATTAAAAATAGAGAAGTAATAGATGAAGACATCAATCTTCTTCCGAATCTTTGATTATTTTGATTTTTCTTCTTCAATTTTTAATTGACGATGTTGTAATTTCATTTCTACTTTTAATTTATGTAGTTTCTTTGATTTTATCAATTTTCGATACAATTTTATCACTTTTGTTGCCCTTCATTTCAAATAAAGAGTATTAAAATTTAATTATTTAAGAAATTATTTTCTTTAATTTATGTTGATTTAAAGTTTGTTGATCATTATTTATACCTTTTTTTTCTGGGTGTCATTATTTTTCGCTCGTTTTTACTGATTTTTCTTTTATTAAATATTTTTATGACCCAATTCTTTATTCATTATTATTCTTATGCTAGAATGACACATTTTTCTCGGACAGTACAGTCAGTAATATCCAGTTCATTTTATAAAATTACTTTTATTTAAATTTGATTTTCACCTTTTATAAATATACATATTTGTGATTTTCCAACTTAAATTTAGTTTTAATCCTCTTGATATATTAAAATTTATTATAAAGCTTCGATTCCAATTCATCCTCGCTTAGAAAATCAACTGTATTATTGTTGTGTTGAGAAACAAATTGTTCAATTTACATTTTTTGGAAAATTTTTGTTTTAGCAAAAAATTTATTTTATAACAAAAATGTATATTTAAATTAGTAATAACATTAATATATATTTAATTCTATATTAAAATATTGTAAAAGATATTTAATACTAATTTGTTAGATTTATAAAAATAATTATTTAAAAATACATGAAAAAATTAAACAGTTTTGGTTTATAACTAATTTAAATAATTTAATATTTGTATTCTTTGATAATAAGAGCAACAAGTAGATTCATTGTTGTTTTCCTGAGTAAGAATTAGAGGTCGTGGTAAGATTATTGTTATAATCTTGCATATTTAAAATTTTTTTATCAATTCTCGTTAAAAATCTTTTACTTTTAATTTTTACATATTTAAATTTTACTATCATTATCCATATTTATTTAAATTATAAATTTAAAATTATTTAAATTATAAATTTTACAATTTTTATTTATATTATAAATTCTTACAAATGTAATTCTGGATCAGCCGGAATATCTTTAATAAGAAATTTAGACAATTAAGTTCTTCCTGTTTAGATTATTACATAATCGTATTAATTTTCAATTAATTAAATTTAATCTAACTTTACAAAGTCTGGATCTACTTAAAATTTTAAATTTTGACATATGAGAAATTTAAAAAAAATATATATAAGAACAAAATATTATACAATAATTCTTTCATAAATTTTTAATAATAACTTTTAAATAGTTATAAGGGAAATGTTAGTTAAATAGTTATAAGGAAATTTAAATAGTTATAAGGAAATGTTAGTTATAAAGGAAATGGAAAAAGGAAATGTTCCTTTTCGTAAATGTTCTACTTTAAAAATGCTTTATTTAACTGATTGAATTGTTTGTTTTCTGATGATGCATACTAGAAATAAAATAATTAAATTTTTGTTTAAATTATATAGCATACATCAGGTTCGCAAAGGAAACTATTGTCCATCAAATTAATATGTAAGTTGTTCTAAAATAAACGTTGCATAATAAATAACTTTAATATAAATTTAATTCTAATTTTTATTAACTATTGGATAAAGTTGTAAGGTCATTTTGCAGACTGATTAATTTTAAGGAATTGATTATTAATTTAAAAAAATATTTTTTCTATATAAATTATTAATAGTAGAGTTTATAATCCATTAGTTCAAATGTAGGTAGTAAACAACAACCAAATTTTTATAGAAAAACGGACAACTTGGTTTAATACCCAAGTTTAAGTTCGAGATAAAAGTTATTAACTTATGGAAATCGATATGTCAACACCGTTAACTACCTCTTGTACTAACAACAAAAAATTAAAACTGCATCAATTATCTAAAAAACTTTCTAATTTCTCTGAACAATTTTCTACCGATATTCCTCCTTGGGCTACTGCAATGCTTGAAATTGTTAATTCTGTTATGGATCTCTGCAAAGACATTCTTACAACAGAACCAGAACAAGAAACTATTAAACCTGTTCCTAAATTTCGCTTTGGTGATCCACATTCTGCAACCAATGAACAACAAAATAATTCTTTCACTAATCAATCGTATTTCACCAATATTTTAAACAACGCTATATTAGACGCTGAAGAAATTAAGTCTAAGTCAAAGAGGGTCGTTATTGAACGTGCCCCAGAAAATGAAGACATTAATTCTTTAATTAAAAAAATTGCTGCCGATAGTGGAGTTTCTGCTGATCTTGTGGAAAAAGAAATTCATCGACATCCAAATCGTGAGTCTTCTGAAGGTATAAATAAGAAACCAAGGATTGTAAAAATTCCATTTGCCAATAAAAAGTCTAGGGATATCTTTTTATATAATTTTCGTAAATGTTTAAAGAAAAATCCAACTTTTCCGCAGTTTTTAACTGCAAGACGTGATATGACTCGTAACGAATTAAATATATTGTATAACTTGCGAAAGCAAGCATTTTCTATGAATCAGGCCGAGAACATGTTTAAGTACATTGTTGTCGATCTGTCAATAATTACACTCAAAAATCCACAACCGCTCAGGGCAATCAAAAATAAATAGGGACACGCAGGCAAACCGCAGTCAAAAATAAATACCGGAAATTTTCAATCATATAAATGTTTATTATTTAATTCTAGATCCCTAGCTAATAAAATACCGGATTTAAATCAATTAATCGAAAATTCTAATCCACATATTATATTAATCAATGAAACATGGCTCACAACAGAAAATACAATAAACTCTGAACTTTCATATAGGGGCAATTATGAGATTATATTAGCTAATAGAATAGGAAAAAGAGGGGGAGGATCGGCAATCCTATTAAAAAATAACATACCGTTTAAAATAATTTTCAATGGCTCTAAATTCCAATCAGAGATAATCCATATAAAATTATTTCTCAAAAAAGAAATTAGCATTATAAACATTTACCGCCCACCAAATAGTTCAATTATTAATACAAAAAAATTATTTAAATTTCTTTTAAATCAAACTGATCAAAAAACAATATTATGCGGAGATTTTAATATTAAACACATAAATTGGGATTCCAAAGAATTAACTGACAACTATGATAAGATCGCGAATATGTTTTTGGAGTTTATAGGTCAAAATCAATTAAATCAACTTGTTACTGAACCGACTAGGGAAAATTCAATCCTGGACCTTGTACTCACACCTGCTTCCAATTTAATAAGAAATGTTAATGTTAGGGAGAATTTTTCAACTTCTGATCACAGAATGATAGAGTTTGAGTTATATGAGCAGATCAGAGTAATTAAAAAACCAAAAATTTATGTCAGAGATTTAAGCAAATCCAATTTTATTAATTTGAATCAAGTTATATTTGAAAATAATTTAGATCTAGGTATATTAACAAAGTTCACTGTGGAAGATAAATATAATTTTCTGACAAAGGAATTGTTATATCTCTATAACAAATATATACCGATGAGAACCTTGAATAAGATAATAAGGAAGACATACCCCAAACGGATTAAGGAATTACACAAAGAAAAACTTAGATTATTCAGAGTCCTTAAAGAAAGAAAACATGATCATAACTTAAGACTTGAGTATAAAATCGTTTCAAAAAACCTGAAAAAACAATTAAAAATTCATCATAATACTAAGGAAGAAAAAATAATAAGTAAAGGTGGAAATTCAATACATAAGTTTATTAGAAACAGACTTACTCAAGATAATAACATACCCTGTTTAATTGATAAAGAAAATAAATTTTACTTCAGTAATGAAGAAAAATGTAATATTTTAGGAAAAGAATTTCAAAAAAACTTTCAAAATAAAAATATTAATATATCAAATTATAACAGAAATATAATTCCGAAAACAAAACTTTCAGACATAGATCTAAGCACTAGCATTGTGTGGGATGTCCTTAGATCACTTCCTAATCGTAATTCAACTTCGCCAGATAACATTCCTTATATATTATTAAAATATTGCGCTGACTCACTTGCAAAAATAATCACAGATATCTTTAGATGTATTATTGATAATAAGCAAATTCCATCTATTTGGAAAACATCACTAATTATACCACTTTTTAAAAAGGGAGAAAAATCAGATCCAAAAAATTATCGACCAATATCGCTAACATGCACCTTATGTAGGATACTTGAAAGAATTATTGCACAGCAATTAACAAAATTCCTAGAAGATAATAAGTTCTTTAATAAAAATCAGTTTGGATTTCTTAAACAAAGGTCCACAACCACACAGTTATTATCTACCATGGATGATTTATATAATGCAATACAAGATGGATATAATATAGATATTATTTACATCGACTTTGCTAAAGCATTTGACACTGTACCAATAAATATTCTTTTAGATAAAATAGAAAGTGCAGGCATAAGTGGAAAAGTATACTCATTTCTTAAAAACTTCATATCGGCTAGAAATTTCAAGATTAAGATAGGTGACCAATTATCCCACAACTATGAAACATTCTCAGGTGTACCTCAAGGAAGTGTCCTAGGACCACTTTTATTCCTTATTTTTATAAATGATCTTCCTAATGAAATCCCCGAAAATGTTGGAGTAAAACTATACGCAGACGATGTAAAACTATATATAGCTCATAAAAACGGCATAGAAAGAGAACAACTAAATAAAGCTTTAAGAATACTCGAGAAATGGACGGAATTAAATGGTTTAGAAATATCCCCTAGCAAATGCTTTGCTTTATATCTAGGTAAAAATAACATGAAAAGAGAATATATCATACATGGATTAAAAGTACAAGAAACAGAATGTATTCGTGATCTTGGAATATTAATTGATTCAAAAATAACATTTAACAATCATATAAACATGATCATAAAAAACGCATATTTAAAAAGCTCCCAAATAATAAGAATCATTAAATCTAGAAATTTAAATCTCCTCGTTAATATATATAAGACATATATAAGACCCCAACTAGAATACGCAACTGAAGTATGGAATCCACAGATGAAATATCAAATAGAGAAAATTGAAAAAATTCAAAAACTATTCACTAAAAATATTTACAAAAAATGTGGTTTAATCAAGGTCCCATATGAAGAAAGATTAAATACTTGTAAACTCGAAAAGTTAATAGATAGAAGAAAAATTGCCGATCTTTCCACCGCTTTTAAAATTATAAAAGGTTTTACATCCCTTAATTCCCAAAAATATTTTAATTTATCAAATAGATCTCTTCGCAGGCCTCTACTTCTTAGGACAAAAAAATATACAAATAAAACAAAAAATAATTTTTTTCACAGAGTGGTGAATAACTGGAATAATCTTCCAAATGAGCCATTTAAAATAAATGATCCGAAAAAATTTAGAAGCTCATTAAAATCTAATAATCAAAGTAAAATAATAAAGACATTGAGCCCTGGCGTGTGTGGTTTTTAGAGTGTTTATTTACTATTTATATATTTTTTTTCATTTCATTTTTTTTGTTGTTGTCTCACATATTTTCTTTAATTTGTATTTTTATGTTTTTTTATGCACCACTTTAATGTATTTTAAAATACCTGTGGTTTGCTGATAAATAAAATAAATAAACCTTAATTTGAATTAACTATATATATAGTCAAATACATATATTATATTTATATATGGTCAAATACATATAAATAATTAAGGTTCAGATAAGATTTATTTTGTCATTATAGGCGGAATTATTAAAGATATTTTGAAATATAATATTCAATAATAATAACAAACTATAATATTCAACAATATTTTTAATTCATTGACTTGCGTTCTAATTCAATAAACAATATACCCACTGCCGCAGAATAAGCTTATATGTTGTTACAAATAATATGTAAAAATAAATTCAATAATAATAATGATGGCAAATTATTATTAGGTGAAAAAATATTTTTTATCATTATCTACTCTCGTCTCCGTGCATGAACGACTTGATAAAAAATGGGCCCAATTAGGACATTGCTTGTTTATTTTTATTAAGTGGTGTCAAATGATCTAATCTAAATTTAGTATTTTTGAATAATTAATATTTAAAAAATAAAAAAATGAAGGCATTTTCTTAAATATTTCGGTATATAATTTGAAAATTCTTTAATAAAAAAATTCTCTAAAATATAAATGAACGGATTTTTGAAATTGTTGAAAAATTGCTTTATTGCTGGATAAATTGTAATAAATAAATAATAAACAAATTGTTGGACATCATTTATTAATCAAAAATGTATCTCTATTAAAAATTATTTATAACATTATTATCTAGTTTAAATTTCTTTATATCGTGTTAAAATTTAATTACATTTTTAGTAGGCAAATAATTTATCTATGATAAATTTAATAGATAAATTTATTTGTGACGCTAACTTTTAAAATTTAGCAGTTAGTTTTCAGTAAATTGAAAGATAATTTATAAATTGCCGTTAGATAAATATATTATTTTATTTATTTATTTACTTATATGTAGAAGAGCGAAAAATTACTAAAAAAATTTATATAAAATAGCAGAGGTTAAAAAATCTAATTAATTTTTAGATTATTTAACACAATTTTTCTAGCGACTGAGATTAAATATTTGGTTTGAAAAAAACTATTTTAAAAACTTTTATTAATTTTAATAGAATTGTTTTTAGTAAAAATTTCCATTTTCGTTGCTTGTTTTAAAACATACTCATATTTTCTTGTTTTCGGATCAACGAACTCTTTCAAAAAATTGATTTAAAACACATACGTTTTTAAAATTTAATTAATTTTTATAATTTATTTTGAAGAATCCAAACTCTTCAGATGATTTTCGATGTATATCCAAAATCTACGATTCATCTTTATTGAGAATTTAAATTTTCGCTTCTTATCAAAAAAATTATCCTTGTATAACTAAACTTTCAAAGAAAATTGTAATTTCATCTTATTTTTATATCTTTTTCTATAGTGATTGAACAATGAACAAAAAAATATTTAAATCTGCTCAACAATATTTTTGAGTAGGCCCCCTCGCGCATTTTGATGATTAAATTGGTTGAGATACTGTCTCAGGTTTGAGCGTTCATTATTCCAATATCCAAGAAATTGTATGTCAGAGTTATTGGTGTTTGTTTGTTGATTTTGATTATTATTACTCTTTTTTATTAAATTAATTTTACTACATACATATTTTTAAAAGAATCTTGAAATCAAAATATTTTCATTTTTTAATATCCAATTTAATTTTTAAAAATTGTAATTTTATTTCAAAATTTTATCTATCTATTATATATGTAATATACGAATGAACATAAGATTTTTATTAATTTTTTCTTTTTAAATAGTATATTAGGCTAAAGAATTCTAACATGTTCTTCTCGTTTCATCTATTGTTTTTAACGGGTATTATTAGCTACTACAGAATATTACCTCGTTTTGACCGTTGTAATTTTATTTCAATTTTATTTGTAATTTTATAAATTTATTTGCTTTTTGAACATTTATTTTATTGAGGCAAAATTTTTATTTCTGAATATTAAATAACTATGTATTTCGAAAAAACAGAATAAACACTTGTTAATTTTTATAGCTTTATATCGTTTAATGTTTAAACTTTTTTCATTTTTTGTTTGGAAAATTTAATATTTGATTTATACTTTTTTCGATATTTATGTATGTATATAACATTATTTTTACAATTAATTTACAATTTATATTATTTTAATTTATTTATATTTTTATTTTTGTCCTGCCACAATTGTTCTTTTCTACATAGGTTAATACATATTTTAATTTATATATTGTTAATATTTATATTATTCTTAAATATTTATATTACATTGTAATACTTGTATCGTTATTATTTAAAAATAATTTATTTGTAAATGTTATTGTTTTAAATATTTTTAATGTTTTTTATTGTTGTTGTTAGCAATAATTTAACTCAAAATTATATAAAATACTCTATACGAATAAAGGAAATGGCTTGGCTTTTTATGTGAATGGACGCTTACCTTATATTTGTGAGGAAAGATAACCAAAAACAATTTATTGATTGAAATCTTCAAAAATTCATGCTCGTTGTTTAACAATTAACACCATCAATCGAACGGCCTTATGGAATATGGAATAAAAACTTCTCTTCACTAGTAAACTCAGGAATAATTCTAATAATTTGAATTTTAAATAATTCGAATTATATTTCGAAGTTAGAAAGTTATATTCAATTTTTTATTATCTTAGTCTATTAGAACAAAGTAAAAAATGTTTTTGTCAAGATTTTTATAAATCTGCCTATATTTAGTTCTTCTATGCTGCTGTACATCAAGCTATCAATATATTTATTTTTTAAAACTAATTACAACATTTATTCGCCATTTATCATAAACTCCGCATTTGTAATAATTAAATATTTTTTATATTTTTATATATATTTTTTTTGAAATTTTTTATTTTTTAAAAATTGAATTTACGTTATCCAAGTCAATTTTTCCAACAATTTTTTTTCAATCACCAAAAATTTCAATTCACCAAAAATTCCAAAAAAATTGTAAATCCAACCATAAAATTTACAATCATGAAAGCAAGTTCTTTTAAGTTGATGTGCTCGCCACTAAAGAAAATGGCGATCTCTCACTGAAAAATCGAGATTTTATTTTAATGTAATGAAATTAAAATAAAATATTAAACTCAACCAAATTTCACCAAATTTAATCTTTCTTTAATAAAAAATTAAAAACAAATTTATTTAAAGAAGAATATTTATTTATTTAAAGTTGATAGAAAACTATAGAATGAATCAAAGAAATTTAAAAAATTAAAGAAAATAAGTGTTAGCACATCTGTCAAAAATTTCTTTTGTTCATTTTCTGAGCCAAAGAAATTTTGTAAAGTTGTTTACTAAAATAAAAAAGTTTTTTGAATAATTAAAAGAGAAAAGATTTTAGAAGTAAGGATTAAACGTAATTAAAAATAACAAAAACAGTAATATTAAATAATATTACTTTATTTTAAATTTAATAATATTTAATAATATTATTTTAAAAAATGAATTTTTTACATTTTCCATTAAAAGTACAAACATTGGTACTTTGTATTTTTAAATTATATTTACATTTTCAATTAATGTTAATTAAATTTATATATTTTTTAAATATTTTCGACCTTTCAAAATTTTCATTTTATATTATTACATACTTTAATTAAATTTCATTTCATCAATTTAAATAAGTATACAAAAATTGTGTTAGTATCTAAAAATTTGTTGATTCAATCAGATAAAATAGTAATATTGGTAGTAAAATTTTACATACACTTCGCATTTGTAATAATTAAATATATTTTATATTTTTATTTCTACATAAATATTTTTTTCATCTTGCTAGGCAAATTTTTTATTTCTTAACAACTCGTGTTAGTTGCAGAAATCTTTTATAGTATTTATCTTATGCTATTATTTAAAATTTCTTTAAAATTCAAAAAATTATAAATCTAAAATTTTTTTAATTAAAAATTAAAAAATAAACAAAAAACTTCATTTTTTCCTTGTCTCGGATGCTTTTTGTGTCCGCTTTAACTGTTTTCTCTTTTGATTCTTCTTGCTTCATGCCCATGTACGCATGTTTCTTTAGTGTATGAAGTAAATTTTTTTTTGTAAATTTGCAATATTTTTTTCTTATATAATTATTCAATCCATTAACAATTATATAAAATTTTATCTCAACGATATTTGCGCTTATCTCAGATCGAGCGATGCATGATACGGACGTGCTCATTTTAAAACTAATGTCTTTTCGAATATATTTTTTTAGTTAGTACTTTTCCGTAAAAGTTAGATGTTATAGAATTTGATTTGTTGCAAGAACTTTATATGATTTTAATGTAAAATATTTAAAATTAATTTATACATTTCTCCACAAATTTTATTTAATTTGAAATGATTAGTTTTAAATAATTTTTACATTTTTAAGCAATAAATATTGTAAAAAAATTTAATAAAAAATATTTCATATAACTTCATTTAATTATTTAAATAAAATGAATCAAAATTAAAATGTATATAAATTTATCAATAGATATTTTAAAGCAGGTGC